GCGGATCTGACTCTAACCAATCACTGTCAGTCCTTCTGTCGTTCCCTTTACGTTCTTACTTAGATTGGGTTGGTCTTCGTAATGGGTAATCAGACCGGATCCCCTTATGAAAGAAGCCATCCCGGCAGTCAAAGCTCTTCGAAGCCTTGGTCATATTAGTCCTACCTTGCCTAATGCCCTTTCTAAAGGCCCCTCAAGCACGCAGCCCCAAGCGTCATGCCCTGAAACCGTTGGTTGAGACGATCTTTCCTATCTGTTAGCAGGATGAAAGCCAAAAATAACTGGAATTATAACACAGGCACGCTCACTAAACTGACTGACTGGCCTTACTGAGTTAGGTTTGTATGTAAACGCTATGCCCCTTCACTAAAGGATCTGCTACCGGATTGCTGCGCTTCCGCTTCTCAGGGCCCTCTTGGCAATAGTGTCCTTTCTTATGTTCTGCCTTGATGAGTGGGGGAAGTAGCCAAATTAGGATATCACTACGGGCAACTACAGCGCAGGAAATTAGCGATCCTAAAAAACTAAGCTCTCATGATCACTCGTCTAGATCTCATGCTTTCTGCACTACATATTTTAGGCTTTATTTTGCTTTTATGTAAGAATCCCATTTTAGCTTTGGAGCTTTGGTCTTTTTTTTTACTTTTGGTTTCGCTTTTATAATTTGGAATGTGGGGGGAGGGCGCTTTACCTTCTTTCTTTTTTGGCATAGACGGGGGATTCCTTTATATGGTCTTTTTCCTTGAGTCAGGACCTCGGGCTATGGAGCCTGGTTTGGTCCTAGACTTGTGCCCGGTTTCAAAACAAAACAGGACCTGTGTTCGTGATCGGGCGTGTGGGGACTGGTTGGACGTATTATATATAGAAAGAGAAGGCACCGCTTCCGATTCCGATTCCGAATCCGAACCAGGGGGAAGGCCTTCAGGCACTTACTTTCAAGTCACCTCGAGAAGAAGGGCGTTAATGACTGACCGAAGGCAGAAGGCATTGGTACGTACTGACTCGCCTGCGCTTGGCGAAGGGATATAGGCTTTGTGCCAGAACTGATTGCACTAAGGCAAGCAACTAGTGAAGATGCCGAGAATCGGCCGATCTAGAGTACGGTCTAATCAGTCCTAGCTTCCTAACCTTTCCTAGTACTAGTAGGAAGGGAGACATATCCTGCCATAGACTTTTTAATTTTATACCGAACAGGATTGCTGTAACTGGTACAGGGGCGGGACAACTAATCCTTCTAAAGGAATAAAACTACTGCTACTGCAAGCCTTGAACTGCTAGGAGACTGACTATTTTTCAGATGAGCTGGACCGGGAATCCATATTGACATCAAAGAATGAACCAAGCAATTAACGATCTTACAGGTATATGCCATAGGAAGATGTAGCTTATGAATGCCTTTTTACTAAATCGGCCATTGAGCCAGAGTCCTGCACTCAAGAGAGCAAGTCCGGAACTCCATAACTAGAGGAATCGGGACAGACTGATAGAGCATACCCGGAATGAAGAAAAGAAGGACCAGATGGGCTCAACGCGGAGCAAGCAATAATACTTACAATTATAGTTCTCAAATCGGAATCGGAAGGAGAGAGGGAACCAGTATCGAATAAGCAAAAGAAGGAAACCAGTAAACAAGCAAGACAGCTAAGCAGGAATCGAGATTGATAGGAAGCAAGCAACTGATTGATTGCGCATAGCATAGCCCAAGCAAGGAATAGGAAAAGCGAAATAGGAAGAAAGGTTAAGTGAAACTTAATTTGGAGGGAGCCCCCTTTCTTAGTCTTAGTCGCGGTAGTTTACTTGCTTACTTGTTAGAGTAAGGCTAATAAAATTATTGTTTAAAAGCACTTACTTACCAAGCAAGGACGTTAATATATATTCAAAACCACATGAGATAGGCACATACATCTATCTTTTGCCATCTGTTATAAACGATGGAGCGGGAATATGACTGAAAGATGGTATAGGTCCACAATGTAAAGACTAAATCCAAGCAAGCTTTGTTAGGGGAACTTCCCTTATAGCCTTTCCCCGTGGAAGTACTATTTTCTTTGGTGAAAGGATAGCAGTCAAGCCACAAGAGAAGAGATCATTAACATCGACGCTTCCAAGATCCAACCTAAGAGAGTAGGGAGTTCGGTCAGAGACTAGAAAAGTACGAAATCCTCCTTAGCACAAGCACTAAGTAAGCTCCCAACCTCTCCCTGGAGGTTCGGTCGAGCACTTCGTTCCTTACTTTCCAGTCTTTTTCTGAAGTTCCTGAGATCTGACTGTCAAAAAATCGGTTCTTCTGACGCTTCATTGTAAGATCGGCATACGAGGGTGTCAGCACTAAGAAAGGAAATCGGACAATAAAGATCAGTACTAAGTTAGAAGGAAACTAAGCATCCGGCCCTAAGAAAAAAAAAGGAGAGTACCGTCAGTGTCATCACTTAATCGGGTACATCTGGGTTGGTGGAAACTAGGTCCGCGTGTCAAAGAAGATCTCTATTATGGAGTCCCTTCTAAGCAGGCTCAGGATATGGGCAGCGCATATGACAGACGATCAGGGAATTTTATTATTTTATTTCTTAATAGAGTACCAGACTTCTCACACGGCTATATGACCAAAGATCAGGTCTCCGACCAAACTTCCCTTAGCGACTTTGAAACAAGACATTTCACACTTAATTAAAAGGGCTTAACGATGCCATAGTCTGTACACGCCTGACTTATCCCTTATTCAGGATTGGTTATTTTATCATACCGAAACGAACTTAGTTTATCTAATTCCAACCGGAGCGATGTTGGGAACTTGCACTCCTG